GGGGGGGGGGGAGAACGACACCATTCTGGAGAATAGAACTATTCTACCAGGATAGGGAAACAGACCATTTCTAGAGGGGAAAGCTGATCCTTGGGCAGCAAGGGGCACAGAGAACTTAATGAAGGTGCCCCTGGTCTTATTTAAGGCAGTCCTCCTGGGCCCCAAACTGCCACTCGCTGAATGCAAACAGTCCCTCACGCTACTGCCTTTTGAGGTACTGTTACTGACAGGGGCCTGGCAGCAGCAGGTCTGCCTCAGGCCCGCCTGTAGTGTGTGGTTGCTTGATTTCTTGTAGGAAAGATTTCGCAACAGGAGTCCAGATGGGTTTGAGAGTATATTTATTAAAGCTGGGGACAGTGAAACAAAGGAAGAAGTTAGGGTAGAAGAAACAACAGGGGAGAGCCTAGGCAGTGCTCTGCTTTGGCTCCCTAGAAACCTTATTAGAGAAAAGTGAGCCAAGGCAGGGCTGCTGTCAGGTCACTGGGAAGTGAAGGTCTCAGTGTTAGAAGTGAGCCTAGACGTGAGCCCAGTCAGCTCACTGGTAAGTCAGAGAAAAAGGGGGCCTTGGGGACAGGATCAGGAGGTAAGCCTGTGTCGAGCTGCCACTGCTCACTGCTCCCCTGGCTGCAAGTCACCTGGGGACCCTTAGAAATAAAAAGTTCATGGCCAGGCTGGCCGGTGTTGCTCAGTGGTTGAGCATTTACGGTAAACCAGATCAGGGTTTGATTCCTGGTCAGGACACATGCCGGGGTTTCAGGCTCGATCCCCAGCAGAGGGTGTGCAGGAGGCAGCTGACTGATGATTCTCTCTCATCATTGATGTTTCTATCACTCTCTCCCTCTTCCTTCCTCTCTCTGAAATCAGTAAAAACATAATAAAAAACAAATTTTTTTTAAGTTCATGCCTGCGTAGGGGCATGGGCATGCTCTAGAGTGAGCCCCCATTGAGTCTGTCCTGAGGGCTTTTTATCTTTTTTCATCTTCAGGCAAGAATCTTAGGGAAGGTTTTAGTAGAATATTCATCAGCTTTCCCAGTACATTTTTAATATGCTGATGCATTAAAATGAGTATATAGGGGAGTTTGGGATTATTCTTTGGCCTATTTTACTTTTATCTTAGGTCTGTCTGGCTTTAATGGGTTTTAGTTATTTGTTCCCCAACTTCATCTGCCCTTGGGTTTGGCTGACACAAACGGCATTAATTGGGTCTCTGTTCTCTGTCTCCCAGACCAGGATGATTTAAAGCTATGTATTTTCAGGTTGGGGAGGAGAGGTATAAACCATTTGCTCTCGTGTCCTTGGTTAGGGAAGATAAGGTCTTGCTATTCACTAGCTGGCTGTAAGTTTGTTCAAAATGTTTGGCCTTGTTTAATTTTCTTGTCTCAGTTTCCCCATTCCACTTGCCCAGGAATTTTTCTAGCTTCTTACTATCCTGCCACAGTACCTCCATATGGAGAAAGTAAACTCTGGTGGCTAATAGTGGGGCCTCTGAAGCCAAACAGACTTGATTTCAATCCTAACTCCTGCATCCACCAGCAATGTGATTCTGAGCATGTTATTTAACCTTTCTAAACTTTGAGTTTCCCTTTTTATAAAATATGGGTACTAATAGTATCTCCCTCGTGGAGTTGTCTTTAGGATTAAAGGAGATCATTCAAGTAAAGACCATAGCACAGAACCTGGTGCCTGTGAGTGCCTATTTAATGTTAGTCACTTTTATTTAAATTCCTTAGACATTTTATTGCAATAGCCTCACAACTATCCTTTGAAGAAGGCATTATTGTCATGGCCATTTTATAGATGGGAAAATTAAAGTTCAGAGAGGAGAAGCACTGTATTTGAGATAATACAGTGAGATACTGGCAGAGCAGGGATTGAAACTCAGGCTTCACTACTACCAACAGCTCCCACTTAGACAGAAAAAAAGCCCATTTTTCTAGACTTGCACTCAACTTGACCTTTGCTTCTTCTGAGGATTTAGGAGTCTGGGGGAGGGCTGGGAGCCTCCTCACTCCCCTGCCACTTACCTATAGGAAGAGGGAGAACCCAGGAGTTGATCTTTTTGCCAGCAATCTGCTGTTTCCCAAGAGATGAACAGGAGAGGACAGAATCTGACCTGGCTAGAGGCTCTGAGGGGTCCTGGGCAGAATATGAAGCCATCTCTCTGCCTGGTTGTGACCATCCTGTCACATTGTCTTTGACTCCTCCAGATTGTCAATGTGTGGTACTCTGTGAATGGTGAGAGGCTGGGCACCTACATGGGCCATACTGGAGCCGTGTGGTGTGTAGACGCTGACTGTATCCTTGTCTTTGTTCAGAGTTTATGTTCCCAGGGTCTGCCAGCAACAGAGAGAGGCTATTGACTTGGAGCTGGGAATTTGGGGTGCAATTGTGCATCTAGAGAATGATACCTACTTCCTACTCCCAGTCTGTTCACTGGTTAGGGGAACATTTAGGACAAGTTCCGTTTCTGGTTGAGGAGATTAGAATGCCCTGAGGTAAGGGAGGAAGGAGGGCTCTCTGGGGCTGAACAGGGAGGTGATTCAGTTGGGCTCAGGTGAGCTTGGTCATGTTTCTTAACACCCTCTTCAGGGGACACCAAACATGTCCTCACCGGCTCAGCTGACAACAGCTGTCGTCTCTGGGACTGTGAAACAGGTAAGCCTGGGTCGCTCACTTTTTTAGCAAATAGTGAGGACCTATAGTGTACTGTTTAAGCAAACAGGTTCTGAGGAAATAGAGATAAATCCAGAGATGGTTCCTAGTCTAGGGAATAAGAAACAGATGAGAAAATAAGGAACACGGACTAGAAAGGAGGCACTACAGTAAGATACAAGTATGTTAGAGGAGGCATAGAGCACTGTGGGAGGCCAAAGGGGGGCAACTGACTGCCTGGAATGGGATAGAAGCAGCTTAGGGAGATTTCCCAAGGTCAGTGTCATGTGAGCAGAGCTTAAAGGATGAGAAAGAGGTCATCACTGACACATGCAGGAGTAAAAGCATGGCAAGTGTCGGTCCAAGTCATCTGGTCCAGCCGAGTTCCTGCTTCTTGGCAAATGAGACGGTAGAGCAGGTGAGGCAGGCTGGGGCCAGAACAGGCTTGAATGCCAAACTCAGGAGCTAGGCTGTGTTCTGTAAGGCTTGGCATGCTGTGCAGGGCCTTGAGCAGGGAAGAGTGGTCTGTGTTAAGTTTGTCAAGCTCAGGTGGCAGTGGGGAGCATTAGAAGAACCGAAACTAAAGACGGGATCCTGTTAAGCGCTCAGTTTAGTAAAGATTTACTGGGTATCCACTTCTGTACCAAGTCTACGCTGAACACTGGGGACATGCAGAGAAGTTAGAGCAGGCCTTTGGTATGGAGGAGCGCATTTCTGAGGAGACACACGTCTTGCACTCCATTACGAGCAGTGCCACAGCAGGATGTCTGAGAAGAAACTGGGAGAAGTTCAGAGACTTGAGCCAAAGCATGGCAGTGAGGAAGCGGAGGGTAGTGGGCTGGAGTCACTAGAGCAGGAGAAACAGTGAGACATGATGATAGGCAGGGTTAGTTTCCTCCCTGTTATGGCCGGGGGAAAGGAGTAGCCCAGACTCTATTGACCCCAGGGAAGCAGCTGGCCCTACTCAAGACCAATTCAGCTGTCCGGACCTGTGGCTTTGACTTTGGGGGCAATATCATCATGTTCTCCACGGACAAGCAGATGGGCTACCAGTGCTTTGTGAGCTTCTTTGACCTGCGGGATCCCAGCCAAATCGGTAAGGTCTGGGCCTAGGGCTGGGGTTGAGGTGAAGGGTGCAACTCCGAAGCCCAGGGCCTGATATCTGCTGACCCACACAGACAACAATGAGCCCTACATGAAGATCCCTTGCAATGACTCCAAGATCACCAGTGCCGTTTGGGGACCCCTAGGGGAGTGTATCATCGCGGGCCATGAGAGTGGAGAGCTCAACCAGTATAGTGCCAAGGTAAGGGGCTGGGTGGGGCCCGAGCCCACCATCCTATAAGAGGCAGGATTGCACAGTGGTTAAGAGCAAGAGCTGGACTGAAATACAGATTTTACCACTTTTGAGCTGTGTGATCTTGGGCAAGTTACATAACTTCCCTGAGCCTGTTTATAAAATGTTTCAAGGATCTAATACTATTAGGTGTTTGAAAAACTTTTCAGAGTTCTCAGATCTGTTAATAATGATCACAGTTAAGTATTTATCCAGTATCACTGAGTTCGAGGGCCCTGCCCCAGGGGGAGACAGACTAGCAAACAGCACGAGTCAGATTATGAGCTGTGTTACCATAGAGGTCTCAGTCAAGTGCAGAAAGTGCCCTCTGTCACAGAGGAGGTGGCACATACATTAAGCTATGGAGAATAAATGGAGGAGCCCACACGGAGGCACAGAGTTAAAGGAGTGTATTGGTTCTTCAGAAAATAGAATCCGGTATCACTGGAATGTAGTATTGGGGACGGTGGGCAGGGACTAGATTTTTTATGTCCGGAGTTAAGGAGTGATTTTTCTTTAGGTTGTGGGGAATCTTTAAATGGTTATTGATGATCAGATTTCCTCTTCAGAAAGCTTTTGCAGGCTACAGCTTAGAGAATGGACCTGAACTAAGCAATAGCCATGGGGATATGGGGTACCTAATGGTCAAGAGGTATTTAAGGGTGACTGATGAGGACTCAGTGATTGCAGGGAAGAAAGGATAAAGTCCAGGCTGTCTGAGATTTTTCTGATTTGGGTACTTGCATTCCTGGGGAATGCTGGACTGTAATACCAAAAAGGTTAGTCAGTCACTCAGCAAGCACAACTCTGCTCTTTGTACTACACAGTCTAGCAGGTTGTAGGAAGGGAAAACAGATGAAATGGCCCCTTGGAAAAACCTAAGAACAGGTAGACATGCAGTAGTCCTCATGGAGTGTGACCCAGACCCTGGCAGGGAAGAGGGATAAGCTTGGGCTCTCTACCTCTTAGTGTTTGTGTGATCTCCAAGTCACAGCACCTCTCTGAACCTTAGTGTCTTCCTTTTAAAGTACCCACTTGATAGAATTGTTGTAAGGATTAAATGAAGTAAGGTGTTGTTAAGTTCTTAGCATAATGCTTGGCAGTTAATAGCTGTACAATAAATATTTGTTGAAAAAAAGGAATAAATGGTAACTGCTCTACCATTGTAATGTAATGATTAATTAATAGGTTCATAGATTTGTCACAATAAGCATGTGTTTTCCTAGATGGACTAGCAGTGTTTGTGCAACTTGTACACATGGGCCAGGTTAGGATGTGGGTTTGGGAGAGGGAGTAAAGGTTGACTCAGGGATACTTAGGCAGTCCCAGCCCAGACCTCTCAGCCCCTTGATGGGACAGGAAGAAGTGTAGAATCCTGGCTGAGTAATGGGGCTATTGGGATTGGGGCTGGTCCCAGTCTCACTCTTCTTCCTTCCCAGTCTGGAGAGGTGTTGGTGAATGTTAAGGAGCACTCCCGGCAAATCAATGACATCCAGTTATCCAGGGACATGACCATGTTTGTCACTGCATCCAAAGACAACACAGCCAAGGTGAGCCTGGGCAAGGGATCTGGCAGGGCTGCTCCCATCCTCCTGCACAGCTCTCAACTTGCCCAACTTCCCCCAAGAAGTTTCCTTTTATAGATTTCCCCTCATGCCTTCTCTCTCCAGCTCTTTGACTCCACAACCCTTGAACATCAGAAGACTTTCCGGACAGAACGTCCCGTCAACTCAGCTGCCCTCTCTCCTAACTATGACCATGTAAGGGAACCCCACCTAGGCCTCCTGCTAAAGCCTCTGAATGCTTCCAGGATCTAGATATTTGTCCAGCAGTTAAGATAGAACTTGGGAGGGAATAATGTCAGGCAGAGAGGAGATTCCCAGAGCATCAACAAGGCCGAACAATTGAGAAGTCCAGAAGATGGGGTGGGGGTGGCCAAAGTATCACTTTGTCCCTGCCCTTATATCCTCCCGGTCTGATGTGGGAGATATTAAAAGTTTATGGAGTGGGGAGGAAAACAGAAAATGGGCTTGCCTCTCCTTTGGGACTGTCTCATTTCTTCTTCCCTTCAGGTGGTGCTGGGCGGTGGTCAGGAAGCCATGGATGTAACCACCACCTCCACCAGGATTGGCAAGTTTGAGGCCAGGTAAAGGGAGAGTGAGCTCTTCCGCATTGAAACCTTATGGAGTATCTTTCATAATGGACACAAACCATGTAACTCTGTGCGCAGGCAGACATTTGGGCCTGGTCTTCCCCTAACTCAATGTTCACATTTGTTTCCTCTTGTCAGTTTCTCCGCTTTATAGTTTGTGCTGGGGAGTGGTACCTCCAGAGCATTTTGGAAGGGGATAGAGAGAGAATAGACTGCCCCTTCTCACCATCCTTTTTCCTCCAGATTCTTCCATTTGGCTTTCGAAGAAGAGTTTGGAAGAGTCAAGGGTCACTTTGGACCTATCAACAGTGTTGCCTTCCATCCTGATGGCAAGAGGTAGGGCCCAGTGAAGGGAGCTGAACTCTGCCCAGGTCTGGTCCCTGCCCCACAGGCCCGCTCCGTGCCATTTTCCCATGCCCTGCCTCCCAGGCCTGCCTTCCCCAGAGCAGGCATGTGACTGTCCCTGTTTATCTCTTTTCAGCTACAGCAGTGGTGGAGAAGATGGTTATGTACGTATCCACTACTTCGACCCACAGTACTTTGAATTTGAGTTTGAGGCTTAAAAAGCTGCATCTCCAGTGGAAAAGTTTCCGGGCCAGGACTCACAGAAAGTTTGGACTCTGAGAAATATTAAATTCCTTTGGAAATAAATGGTTTCTGGTCAGATGTTTCATGGGGTCTGTTTAATCATTTTCCCTTCTCAGTGTGATACCCTAGTGAGCTGATAACCAGTCATGGATACCTTTATTACGTGAACCTCCCTACACTTTGGACAATTCAAACCTGGCACTTCAGTATTCTGAGCTGTGCTGGCTGCAGCACCCTCGTCCAAGGTCCCAAGGTGCTGAGGGGCCTGGAGGAGTCTCAGGAACATCTCGGCCACTCTACAAGATGCCAGCCCTTAGGGCTGGGGCTCAGAGGCTGAAACCATTAGCTGAAAGTCTTAGGTATTCTCCTTATCTGTCACTATTTGCCACACCTCTTCCCATGCTACCTCTGAATGCTCAGGTGGGCGGGTCCAGTGCAGAAACAGGCCTGAGGAAGAGGAGGACAAGTAAAGTTGAGCAGAGGATAACTCCCTAGGGGAGAAGGGGGGTCACCTTGCCATAGTCTTAGGCTATGGGGCTCCATAGAAGGCCAGGTGGATTGAGGACATAGAGCGGGTTCTGGAGTTTTCGTTGCTCTTTTGGCTGGTTGAGCCCAGACCACAGGGAGTGTGTTCAAGTTCTTACTTCACACAGGTATCTGCAGGGAGTGAGTTTCCAGACTCAGCTATGTGCTCTGGGATTCTTAGTAGGGTGACAGCCACCCTGGGGCAGTGGTAACCTCTACTTTTTCCTGCAAATGTTATTGCCCGTCAGATCCTGTACTGGGCACTAGAGTAAAATGGAACAAGACAAATTCCTGTTCTTAGCTTTGTCTGCAAGTGCCAGGGCAGACTAATTAGGTATATNAGGAGTTCTTAGCTTTGTCTGCAAGTGCCAGGGCAGACTAATTAGGTATATGCCATTTGAGCTGGGTCTATCAGCAGAAGTCCACCAGGTGTGCAAAAATGGAAATCGGACGGGGAACTGCATGGGCAAAAGTGAGACAGTGGAAAAGTCCCCAGTGTGAGTGTTGATAGGTCAGGACTGGTGAGTTTGTGTGTGTTTCTTTAACTGATGTATGATGAAAGTAGAGATAGAGCAGTGTGGAGACTGTTTCAATGGTCCGCATGGAAAGGAAAGAGAATTTGGATTCGGGTTGGTAGAAGGAGCCTCTGACAGGAAAGGACTAAGTAAGAAATTTTTAGGACAAAGGCTAAATATGAAAGATGGGAAGGAGGTAAACAGGTAACAGTTTCTAACTTGGATGATCCGTGAATGGAGTTAGTAAAAACAAGGGGGTGGGGTGGGGGCTAGGCAACAAAAGATAATAGGATCTCCACCTTCCTGGAGGGGAGTGAACTCTCCCCACATTTCAGTCTGATGAAAGAAACATGGCTTTTGGGGGCATATTGGGAGCATATGCAACACGCCAGCTGAATAAAAATAACCCACTTGTGTGCACACTACATGTCAGGCACTGTGCTAAGCACTTTCCATGCTTTAACTCTGCTAATTCTCACACACACATACCCCCCAATAGATATGGCTGTGATTATGATCCTCTCTTTGCTACTAATGAGCAGAGACTCAAGTTTGCTTATGATTACTCAGCAGGTGAGTGGTGGAGCTGGCGTCTGAGCCCAAACAATTGGACTTAGCTCTCAACCTCTATTGCTTCAGTACAATCAACCCAGCAATGTGGTAAAAAGCCCCAGAAATGGTTTCTTTTTGCAGCAACTTCCCCTTTCAGTCCTTGTTTTTAAGCAAGGGGTGCAATTGCTCTTGACTATGGGCAGCGTGGGTAGGTCCAACAGACTGGCCTTGGACCCATCCACCTCTGGATTTGCAGAAATTAGGGGAAAGTGTGAGATTTGGAGGTAGGAAAGGAGAGAACACTCAGAGTTTTCCTAAGAGAGAAACTCATCTGAAACAGAAAGATGTCTTCTAAGGAAGTAAGGTGCTGATGCAGCAGGTATCTGACCCTGTCCTGTGCCTACCCTCTTACCCCTTTACACCCCCTTAGCTCACCTCTCCTTTTCACTGTTGCAAAGGAAGGTGCCAAAAGGGGAGGCATAGGCATGCTCAAACAGTGCCAACAGCAGCCCCTCCCCAAACTCCTGTGGCAGCGAGAACTGGCAGCTCAGCTGCCATGCAGCCCAGGAAGAGGAGAAAAGTGGGTGCTTCATGCTTGGGGCGGGCGTGGGAGAAGGCTGAGCGGGCACAGTGCAGCTAGAAGGGGTGGCCAACCTGAGGAGGGGCAGAGCCATGGGCACAAGGAAGCGGGGTTTCTGTATACAGGGGTAGGGCTGGGGCTGGGTGGCTACTTACTAGGATCCATTCCTGCTCCACCAGTTTCTGGAATCCAGCCATGGTCTGGCTCAGGGGGTCCAGGATGAGTTGGGCCAGTGATGTCACCAGCAGGGTATTGTCCCTGCCTTCAGCCCCATGTACCAGAATGCAGGCCCCTTCCCTGTGGGCCCAGGGCTTATCATCAGGGCCAGTCCTTTCCTGTCTGGGGTGGACAGGCCAGGAATAGAGTGGGCCCAGTTCTAGGCTGTATTTGCTTACTGAGGTATGGTTTTGTGCCTAAGGATTGAGAGCCCTGCCCATTCTGCCCTCTTCTCTGTCTCACATGGTAGGGGTCTTACCTCTCCACGGCCTGGGCTGCTAGGCAGGCGGTGCTCATGCCTCCTTCACATGTGCCAGCCAGCAGCAGCCCTCTAGTTGACTAAGCCAGTGGTTAGTGCTCTGCTCCAGGTCCCCACAGGGCTCCATCAGGTGCTCAAAGCTTTCCTATAGGGGCTGCCCCCTGCACAGTGGGAGTCTGGTCATCCCTCCCCCAGCCCAAGCTCTGGTGAGCATATCCTGGGAACAAATGCTCCAGACCAAAGAGGGAGACATAGAACCCTCAGAGGAGCCCATCTGACAAGAGGGACCCAGGACCCTTTGGGAAGCCCACCTAATCTGATGGAAATGATTCAGTATCCTTGAGGATTTCCTAATCTGATGAAGGAGATCCAATACCCTTTGAGGAGACCTACTCTTTTGGTGGGGGTCACAGCACTCTGGGGAAACACAGAATGCCCTGGGAAACCCCCAATTTGATGGAAGTATCCAGTATCCTTGAAGTACCCCAGTCTAATGGGAGCAAAACAGTACTCTCTGAGGAAACACAACACTCTTGGGACTCTGGTATCTGCTCCTACTTCCCAGAAACTGCTGAAAATTACCAGTGACTCCTCTTAGAAAATCTTTTATTATTATTATTGTTATTATTATTTATTTTTTAATTAAGTTGACATACAATATTATATTAGTTTTAGGTGTATAATGTAGTGATTAGACGTTTATATAACTTACAAAGTGATCACCCCATTAAGTCCGGTACCCATCTGACACTATACATAATTATTACAATATTATTGACTATATTCCCCATACTGTATTTTATATCTCGTTTATAAAAACCTTTAGGAGCTGCTCACTGCCTTTTAGGATAAAGTCTAAGCTCATAATCATGGCATTTAAGATCTTAGCTCTGGGCCCTGTCACCTCTTTAGCCCCACCTCTCTCTACCTCCACTTCACACATTACACTCCCACCATACTGAAGTGCTTGCAGTTCCCCAAACAAGACAAACGACCAGGCTCTCTGCTCCTCTACACCTGCAGTGCCTTCCACACGGAATGTCATTCTTTCACCCTCTGACTAACTCTTCCTCTCTCGGGTCTCAGCTAGAGCATCCTACTCTCGGGTGAACTTTCTTTGGACTACCTATACTAAGAGAGGGGCAGCTCCTCTGTGCTGCAACTTAATCACTGAGCTCTAACTGCAGGTTTACCGCTGATTTCTCAGCCATGTCTGGGCTAGCCACCATTTCAGCCTCTGTGCTCAATGTTGGTTGAATAAATGAATAAACAGAACTTTGTATTCTGGTTAAGGGAGCAGTGCACCCTCCTCGAAGCACAAAAACTCCCTTGGGACCTCCTCTTGGTACTACCATCATCTGGAGACAGGGAATAGATATAGCTGGGCAGGCACAGTCCTCAGGGCAGGAGGCTGGGACCAATATGGAGGGGCATGTGTGTGTGT